GAATCAGAATCAGAAATACTTTAATAATCCCAGAGGGAAATTATTTTTGTTACTGGCTCCATAAATAAAAACAGCGGCATATACATATATACATGTCTGTCCCTATATACATATATATATATACAAAATTCCTCATATGATATAGATAGATATATACATACAAAAAAACTATATGTATATTTAAGGTCAAAATAAGTGGTGGATAATGTCAATAAAGATTAAGTTTGACTCTCAGAGGGAAACTTAATCTTTATTGACATTATCCACCACTTATTTATTTATTTATTTATTTGAATAGGGACAAAGCACACTAATGAACATCAGTAAAAAAACAAATGTGAATATGCCGGATTGTAGCTACAAAGCTAATTTTCATCCGTAGTGACCTATATATACATATAGTTTTTTTTTAAATGTATATATCTATCTACACTGATAACAAGAAACCTTCTGGAAAATGTGTGTTTGCAGTCAGACACGTACCAGGAGGACATTTACCCGATGACCCCGGGAACGGAGCCGGCCCTGTCGGCCAGCGAGTGGCTGAGTGGGATCGATAGAGGTAAAAGACTCACCCAACCTCTGCTGGACGGGCAAAACCTGTAAATAAATTCACTTTCCTGTAAAATACGAATGTTGCATACCTGTGTAAATTCTCCCCGTTCTTCAGTTTGAGTCCACTTTAGCTAATATCTCACTCACATCTCACCAACCCTCCCAGTAAAGGTTCACAAGGATTTTTGTTTGTTTTTACAAGCTTGCTGGGAAAAAAAATGTTGTCTGTGTTTTGAAACAGATCCAGTCTTGATGTCCCTGAAGGACGGTTACAACCGGCCGAACCAGTTGGTGTTCAAAGCCCCAGTAAAGGAAAAGAAAAGCGTAGTGGTCAATGGGATCGACCTGCTGGAGAACGTACCCCCCAGGACAGAAAACGAGGTGCGTGACTCCCCGCCGGTGCAGATTCTCAGTCCTGGGAGCCTGAAATGCCTGAAATCATGTTCTTAGGATTACTGTCTGCATAGAAGCCCCTATATGAGCAAAAAAAAAAGCAATTTTTTAGCAGCAAAAAGCCGCAGCCCAGCTAAATCCACAGTTTAGTCAGCTCAAACTGACCCTTTTCATTTGGGAAAAATGAAGTGGATGATAGTGGCATGAGGTAAAGTCATTCATTCCTGGTGAAGAAAATATTATAACTAAAAACTGCGACTAGATTTAGAGTCTGTTAACAAATCAAATAAATAAGTCAGAAGAACAGCTTACCACTATTCAGCAAATCAGTGTAAATGACCATTAACAACATACTAAACAACAGAGAATAAAAAGCAAGAATGATGGAAAGGATGTTTTTGTCCCAAGATATTCAAATCCCCCGAATTAAGAATGCCCTGATAAACTAAAATGATTTATAGCATAGGTTTTGGACTGGTATGAAGGGAGAAGGTGACACTACAGTATAAATTCATGTTTTAAACAGAAAGAAAAAGAGGTGGATGGGATCTGAATTTAACCCTTTAAAGCCTGATCCAAGAAAAATAGGAAGAATATTGGATTTTTTTTAGTCTGAAGTCTTTCTTTGGCCCCTCAACAACATATGAGGAAAAAAAACAGCAATTATTTTGATCAAAAATATATTTTGGTGTAGTCTTCTACTGGCTGTTATCAGGTATATCTGAATGTGTACAACAGGGGTTTGAGCAAAGCTTTTACCACTGAATGATGCAAAAAGTCTCAGATCCAAAAGACTTCAGAAACCGTATGAATCAAATATGATACATTTGGCATTATAGGGTTAAGACTGAAATAGAAAAACGAGAGAAAATACGCAGGATTAGATTATTTAAAAAGCTGGAGAACAGGATAAATCATCAGAGTAACTGTACATATGATGGGAACTATGAATAGAGCTAGAAAAGGCTTTATCAATCAACCAATGTATCTGTTTCAGGGCTCATAAAACAGCCCTGGGGCCTAACTGTGTCCTCCAAAAAGGGAAATTAGAGAGCCATTTTGTTGTGCGGGGAGGGAAACACAACATCCTGGGCTCAGTGTTGTTTCTGGACTTTGCTTTTTTCTTCTCCTCTCAGCTCCTGAGGATGTTCTTCCGCCAGCAGGACGAGTTGCGGCGCCTGAAAGAGGAGCTGACCACTAAGGACGTGCGGATACGGCAGCTGGAGCTGGAGCTCAACAACCTGAAGAACGTTAGCCCCAACAACGTCTGACCTCTTTGCATCCTGGACTGGACCTGGACCGCTTCCTTTTTGCCCCCGGAATCTGACCTCTGACGAGCTTCTGAGCCCCCCCCCGCCCCGCCCCGCCCCGCTTTTTTGATATATCTCATTTCACCATAACTTCATCCTTGCTGCCCCGTGTAGTGTGCACAAATTAACTGTCGGGTAACTTCCTTAAGAGATGCAATTTACTAGAATATAGCTGTAGTGATAAATGTAAGGAACTGAGGCAGTTCAGGGATTTCCAGTATAACATGAGACTGATGATAAAGGGGAGTGTGAGATCCAGCCAATTTGAGCATTTTCCTTTTTCTAAATCGATATTTCTGATCTCGCACAGTCTCAAGTGATCCCTTTTAAACACGTTTAGCCCCAAATCCCGGGTGTCTGCCTCCCCTAAACTCACCGTCTGAGTTCTCACTTCATGTCGAGGTAGAGCTCTTCCTCAATGCCTTAGACCCTGCTGCGGACCCCGATCTTCAGCAAGCTGCAACAACATTTCAAAATGGCGGACGTGTTTTTTTTTTTATTTCTGCACCTGGCAAAATACGGACCTGGATCCCGGTTTTCTCACAAAGCTGCTTGTCCCCGTTTCCGCTTCTCTCCCCTACAAACGATGCCTGTGAACGGACCTCAGAACAGATGCATACTGTAGCTTTTTAAAAATGCAGCCTTTTATCAAGGAGAGAAGTTTTTTTTTTTTACTGTATCCTCAACAGGTAGGAAAGCAGTCGAGGACACCTGGAGTCCCGGGTGTTGGACTTGTGTGATTACTTATATACGTAGTCTCATGCGATGCTTTGCTGGCTATTTTTAGGGCTAATTTCGAGGATAGGGTGATGTATATGTCCTATTTATTTGCCACATCTTCCATTTTCAGCTAATAACTTGTATATTTGTTAATCCCATTGTTTTTTTGTATGATGTGGCTGTGCAGACGTTGGTTTGCGATGTTCATGTTGAAGTGGTTTAGGTTTGTGTGGAATGACACCTTTGGTGGTTTCCGCACTTTGGCTCCAGCAACACAACGTTAGCAAAGTTATGAAATGATATTGCTGTGCTTTCCTAGCCATACAAACTGTAACGGTAACTACCCTTTGAACATAAATATCACCAAAACTGCTGTGAGACGTGCAGATTTTGCTTTAAAGACTCCAGGTTGTCTCCAATTAAACTAGTTTTATCGACAAAAACACAAAAAAGGTTTAGACCTAATTGATTATAATTGATTGGCAGTTAATTTCTAAATGATTGCATATTAAACTTGTCCTTTTTTAATCACTGATTCTGCTCTTTGTAGACCAAGACAAGGATCTAGGAAAAAAAGAGTTTGCAAGTAAAAAAGTAAGTGAAGGATTGAAGGTCTTCCCTTAGCGGTTAACAAAAGGAAAAAGAAAAAAGAAAAATCTTTAGCCTCACATTAAAAAAATAATATAAACACTCTTGAAACCTGACTGGAACAGCAATGTGTTTTTCTGTCGTGCAGGAAAAATGAAAAGCCACAGAGGAAGTAGAGAGTTGGAAAAGGTTAATTCAGACTGATGAGCTTAAAGGGAAATACAGGAAACAGCATCGGGGGTTGTGTTGTGTCTCGTGCAGGTGCACAACTCCCAACTCTATAAATGCCCTGCAAAAAGGCACTTTGCTGCCTTTAAAAAGACTGAAACTCTTTGTACGTGGTTGCCAACGGCGTTTGGCTGTGATAATCTCATCACAAACACACTGGGCCCGAGTTATTTTAAGGTAATCGAGTTGGTGTCCAGCTTAGTTTGGTTTGTCAGGATTGCATTGTAGCCGTTTACAGTATTAAATGTGAGCTCATTTTTGTGGGGAAAAAACAGCTTCAATTTTTTTTGCAGATTGAAAATGAAGGCTGGTATCAATATGAGTTTAACCTGGAATCCTTTGTTGTTGTTTTTTTTAAAACCTTTTTGATTTCATCATGTGTTGCTCAAAGAACACAACGTTCAGAGAATTCATATAAAAGGGATTTATTGAAGTGAATGGGAGGAAAAGAAGAGCAAAAATTGGGCTGATGACGGTGGATTTTAACAGAGTGAGAAAAGAAAAAAGAAAAAGAAAAAAATCACTGAGGTCAGCCAATTTGGCCATTGCGTTTACTAGAGAAAACAAAGTCCGAATAACTGACTGTTTTCCAGAGTTTACATCTCGAACTGATAAATTTTCTCGGCCGTGACGTCCGTTTGTCGCCGGTACTTCTCTAAACTACCGCCACTAATTCAAACGTCTCCATCTGTGTGTGCCAGAAAAGAACATGGAAAAAGGCAAGTGTGAGTTCTGGTGCTGAAAATTTTCTCTCCAAGGAAAAAAAATTATGCATACAAAGTTTTCAAATTCAAGAAATTTCACACTGCGTACTTTTTAGAGAAAGTAGCATACATATTTAATATCTTATTACAATTCATAGTTTAACCTCAGTTGTCTGTTCAACGTCTGCCGTCATCAAAGAGAATACAAAAAAATAGATTTGGTCATTATTTACAAGAACACGTAATTTCCGAACTATCAAAGCTGAAGATTGGAGGAGGAGGAGGAGGAGGAGAGGCTTTGACAAGGGCAGACATTTTTTTTTTTTTTTGCTATGATTTAAAAATATGCCCGGGTCACACTGTGCACGTTCAGACAGAAGTTTCACGCCAGGACACGGAGAGTATCGGCATACTGGTGACACTACAAACAAATAACTTACAATTCTTTTAAAAAATACAATGCAAAAAACAATAAGTTTAAGACAAGGAGAAGACAGCCATACATGAAATCCAGTAGTTGACTTTAAAATGTAATAGACATGCACTCTTTTTTTTGTTGTTTAATTTAAGTTTGTTTTTGTGGGTTTTTTTTGTTGGGTTTTTTTTTTTTTTTTTTTTTTTTTGCTTTGGAAGGGAGGTCATAAAATACATAAAGTTGTCAGAAATTGGTCTTACACAAACAGTGAGAAAAGAAAAACATTTCTCAAAAAGGTTTATCTTTGCTATTTGATATTACAAAACCTGGTGTCCACGGGGCGATTAAAGGTGGACCATGTAGACTGGAGCACGGGGGCGTCAGATATACGGAAAATCAAACTTTTATTATTCTCCAGGTGACCTCGTCCACCTGACTGGCCGATAACAATAAGAATTAAACAAAAAAAAAACGGAAAACTAAACGAAAAAAACTACTGCAATATGAAACTGGGGGGAAGATACATGGGCTTTGAGGGGAAGTGAGTGGGAGATACAAGTTTAAAACAGTTCACAACTTAGCTCGGGGGACGCTTAATCGTCCTCATCCTCCTCTCCTTCTTCATCGAGTTCCCTTTTTCTCTTCTGGCCTCGCTCCTCCTCTGAAGAAACAAAAACAACACAAGAAGCTCTTTTAGGAATCTGGAGAAACAAATAAATGTTTCCTGTTCCAAATCGGGTGGTTTTTCTTCGGTGGCCACAGCCCTTCTGTGCTCAGACCACATCAGTTTGTGTGTGGGACATAAACTCTGCCATCCCATAATCCATCAGGAGGCTGTAAATGGGTTGTGTGCATCACTGTTCAACACCAGCGACCTAAAATGTTTCCTCATTTGTTTTTCTCATATCACACAACTGAAATATGCAATATTGTAAAGCTAAGGTAACGAGTTTTGTTTTTAAATCACATAAATGTAACCTGATAGATCCATCTGGCTTGGCTTTCATTTTGAACACATTAAAAACTAGCCGGATGTGGACCTATGTAGTTATTTAGATGCTCTTTGGCGGTTAAAAAAATCTAAGTTATTGCTGTGTTTGCAGCTAACTGCACAGACTCAAACTAAACCAGTTATCCAGGTATTTTCTGTATTTAATTTTAGAAGTTAAAACCCATTGATGCCTCTGGAAAAGTAGCAAACAGACAAATTGCTGAACTTAAAGCATCATAAAGCGATCAACATGGTTTTAATTAACTCTGGAAGCTGCTTAATGACACATTACTGTGAAAGCAGTTGCTACGTTTCTCATTGAAAACCCCTCACTGACGACTGGGAACTTCCTTAATTCGTCTCACGTGCGCGTGCCGGTGCATGTGTACATATTTTAATATGTACAAATATTTTTTAAAAAAAAAAATTCCTAGCCAAAAGTAAAGAAAATTAGCATCCAAAAGCAGGAATGTTAAGTCAAGATTTTTCATTTACTGACAGCAAACAGGAAAAAAATCAACCTTTGGTTTGAAACCCAGTCATAGATCTGAGTTTCAGCCATTTTCCTCACCTTCATCTTCCTCGTCATCAACCTCTTTGTCATTCAAGTCTTCCTCTTCTTCCTCCTTCATTAAAAAGACAAAAATCTCTCAGAACAAAACGTTTCTCGGGACAGTTTCAGCGCCGAACTCTCGTTATTTCCCCCCCACCTCTCCACTCAGGTCGTCCTCCTCCTCTTCCTCGTTCTCCTCCTCATCTTCCTCTCCCTCCTCGTCCTCCTCATCCCCGGGTGGCGCGTCTTCATCGTACTCCTCCTCATCTGGGCGAATGCAAGATGTCGGTCAGTCGTTAGCTAAGCGTTCCGGCGGGGGAACCTGTGTGTGCGTGCGGCTTAGAGCTCACCGTCCTCGTCCTCCTCTTCGTCGTCCAGACCTTCGGCGTACACCTCGCCGTCGGAGTCCGGGGCCTCTTTGTCGTCCTTATCGTAGCCGTCCAGGTACGTGAGCTGCGGTAGTAGCTTGAACACGTTGTCTCTGTATTCGTTGAGGTTTGTCACCTCACAGTTGAACAGATCTAAGCTTTTCAGGGCCCCAAGTTCTTTCTGTCAAAAGAAAAAAAACGAAACAGCGTTTGGTGAATAATTAAGCCTCGTTTCGATGTATTACCCTTCATAATCCGCCTTCGTGGGGTCTTACGAGTGGTTCTATTGTGCTGAGGTCTTTTATCTTGTTGCCGCTGAGGTTGAGATGCGTGAGGTTTGGGCACTTTTCTGCCAGAACTTCCAACCCTCCCGAGATCCTGTTGTCGCTGAGTTCGAGCTGTTGAGCGATCAAACGATCAAAAGGTGCAAAAATACATAGCGATCTTAACCTGTTAAACTTCACCTGTGAGGAAAAGACCGCCCACCTTTTTGAGTTTCTTCAGCTTCGGCAAATGAGCAACTGTCGTGAGACCCACGTTGATTGTGCTTAGAAACTCCAGCTCCTCAAATTCGTCTGTTAGGCCCTCGATCTTTCCTTCATTTGAGCGACAGTTGTCTAGCACAAGCTCTTTGACCTGTAGAACAGGAAAATGAAATCATAAATTGGTCAGCATTGGTCAAAAAAGAAAAACAGTTTGATAAAAAGAAAATCAAGTGTGAGATATCGGATGAGTCTTTAGATTTTTTTAAAATCTGCATTAAAAGCAGCTTTCACAATTTTATGCAGGATCACCATTGTCCCAAGTCACGTTCATAAATGTCCTCATATCTGTATAATTCTGTTACATTTAAAACGTATTGAGTAGAAGTTGCACCCTTTGAAAACCCCGAAAAATGATTTCCACGAGCCTGTCTCTTGAAAAGGTTCAAGTGTATTGCAATAACATTTTAATAATGTCATAAACTGAAAGGCACAGCACCCCCAAGGGCACATTTCTGATGCCAGCCAATTACAAAATGATCCAATTTGTTGGATTTTCAGCTACAAAGTCAGAAGCAATCTTACCACTGACATCCCATTTATTTTACCAAATAAAATTACTTGGAAATGGCATAATCATCATGTGAAAATTGAAGCCTCTCTGTATTAGACTTCACTACCAATACTTTAAGATGCTTACAGCATCCCTGGCAATTAACGTGTCAACTTGACTTATCTTACAAAAGCAGCTTCCCCTCTACAAAGTTAAACGTGAGTGTTTACTCCCATGAGAAACTGAAATAAGTTGGGAAAATAAATGAATACTTTAATTCAACATCCTGCAGCAGCTTTATTTGTCCCCTGAATTTGAACTCAGTTAAATAGACAACATGGTCGTTTCTTATGGAGACAATAGAAAGTAGGTACTGTTTTCTTGTTTTTATTGATGAACAAAATGAGAGCAGATAGTTTCTGACTGCTGATATCCAAATATTGGGATGTGGGGTCACAGGTGCGCCGTTCCGGGATGACTCAGCCAATCAGCGGCGAGCAGAACTCAACGAAAAAACGTCCACAATCAGCTCTCAACGGTCAGAACACGTCTCGCCGCTGCAAATATCGCGATACTTTGCTTCTCCCTACCGTTACATAAATATCACATTTAGATCATGTTTCTGTAAGAAACAGACAAACAAATGTGAGGTTGCGAGCGTTCATATCGATGATCGTGGAGTTAAAGTGTAAACAGAGAGGCGTTTGGACGGTTCTGAGCGGCGCTGAAGCACAATTGTCAAAACAAGTCGACACACAGACCTACGAGTCGTGCACAGGGTCATTTGTAAGTAGGAGGGGCCGCTAAAGCCGATTAGATAGCTGCCAGGCAAACGTTTCATTGTTGCTTGTGCTAAACAGTTGCTGATCGGACTGATGGCAAGTGTATACGCCTAATAAGAAGAAGGTATGATGAATCGTTCGTCGTTTGTGTCGAATGAACGGGCTTTTTGGTGTGTTTCGAATTGCCTTTGTTTGTCGGTAAAATGGCGGCTTGTCCTAGTTCTTGAAAACTAGAGCGACCATTTGTTGTCATTACGACTGAGGTCCTCAGCCCTTCGACGGCGGAAACGGAGCCGATGAAACGACTGAACGAGGCCCATGAGCCACGGGGCGTGTTTTTATACATTTTCCGTGTGTTTTTGGGCCCCGGCTCGGCGGCGGTTTACGGTCCGGACTAACGTCGCTTTTTTCGGCCATCTGTGGGCACCGCGGGTCCGGCTCCAGGCTGCCGTACTCCGGGTTCATCTCTATCAAATGCTCGACGTTTTAAAGCAAAAACAATCCAACCAAACGAGGCTGGATTAGTTTCTGTTGGTTCAGGGTGCAATTGTAAGACGATAAATCGAAGGTTTGATCTTTATGCATCACTGATAATTCCTTGACTTTGAGTACCCTCATCCTTAAGCCGCCAAGTGCTCGGTGGAAAATACTTAATTGATCATATTTCCCACCCAATTGGCACAAATAGCATATTTGAAAACGATGCAATGATAATAACACGAGTTGTTCGATAGAAAAAAAGGCTTCGTTCGTAGATCAAAAGTTACAAATATGGCTCCTCGTACCCGTTTGCCTTGTTTATACCGCTGGCATTAAAAAAAAAAAAAAAAAAAAACCCCCCCCCCCCCCCAAACTGCACAGCAAAAGGTTGAATCCACGGCAAAGTTCACGCGACGGACCCACGGCACCTGCCCCCCCGCGCGAGGCAACAATTTGACCCGACGGCTCCATCATCTTTTAACTTGGAGGAAACTTTGTATCCCCACGCCAAGGCATCACACGAAATATTCTCCATTAGCAGGAGAGTGAAACATCACCCGCGAGGTTTGAGGCCAACTTACGTCTGACGGAGTGCGGTTCCGCAACTCTAGGTGAATTCTTTTCTTCATGTCCATCCTGGATCGGCGCGCGCCCCGCGATACGATACACACTTTTAATAATTACTGCAAATGCAACTAACCACCTCCAGAGCAAGACTGCTGTTGTTCATTCAAACTTGATCCCCTCGGTGGGCGGGAGCACGTTTCGGGATTGTCGTCACCATCGACCAATGGGGAGAGCCGAATAAAGAGGGAACGGATTTACAGACCCGCCGACCAATCAGGGCCGCCCTCTCAAACGGGGTGGGGTTTTGTTGTGGAGGTTTGGTTGTTTTGTTAACTTAAGTTTACATGGCAATATTAAGACTGTCGTTTTTTTTTTTAAATGGAAACCATGCATGAGTGTTTAATTAATTCTTGCTATTAAACTCGAAACTACATTGAAGTCTTGTGTCAGAGTGGTCATTTTATTTGGTGTATTTGTTGATTTGTGTTTGCACATCGGAAACCAAGAGGAGGTCAGTATATTAAGCACTTAAGCTCACAAAACAAGCAAAGTTCACACTGAATCCAACATGTGGCACACATTTAACAAACAAAACAAAGCAAAATACTAAATGGTGTAATATACAAACTTGTTGCTCTAAAACTGTGGAAGGTCACAGGTATTTATGTTAAAAAGATCATCATTTTCATAGAAAAATCAATACATTATAGAAGATTTCTAACTTCCTCTGTGGTTTTATTTTTGAAACTCCTTTAATTCAGTGGTGCAATGCATAATTTCTTTAATTGAACAACTTTCCCAAAATGAATTTAGTCTGTTTTGTTTAATTAGCTACACTTTGCAAAGGAAAGCATTTTGAGACGATCTCCTCAGAAAGACAAACATCTAACCATACACCACATATGGCATCTTTTGTTTAGATCTAACTTGTTTTAGTAAATAAGGAAACAAATATAGGAATAATAAAACAAGTCTTTAACGTCACAATTATAACACGTTTATATGGTGAAACACTTTAGTAGAAGTGACAAATAATGCAGTGGACTAAAACTGTAATGATGAGTAACTGTAATAAAATCTGTATCCACATTTGATGCCACACAAACAAAGAGACCTTGAGATCTGGCTTTGGCAGATTGTGGTACAAAAACTAAACAATTACTTCCTTTCGTGCTTCCATGAAAAGAACAATTCAGCCCTGTTGCTACACACAACTCTTCCACCAGGGGGCGGCAGAGTGTTTTCTCTCAATAATTAACAAAAGGAATTTTAAGGAGGAGATCCTTTTATTAGTGAAATGAAGCTGAAAACACAAAGTGAAATAAACTAACGAGACCAAAAATGAGAGTGAAGGTGGCGTGCTGCTCTGCCAAATATGAAACACATGGTTATCTGGACAGATGACTCCCTATTTGCATGTATCTTGTGTATGATACAGTAGTAACGTGCATGTGCATGATAACGAAAAATGAAAGTAACTGCATTACTGCTATATCACAGATGAACAGTAATCTACTACCACTTGTTTTAACAAGCACACATGCACCCGGGATAACGACATTAATCCTAACTACAGAACACAACAGCTACTTTCATTATTGGTAATCTATTAGTAATTTGGCACGTATGCATAAGAGTAACAAAGTCTCATTTCTGGTCTCAAAGACCTTCAAATTTGCTTAAAACTGACTGTGATGTCTTATTTTTTAACATAAAAAAAAAAAAATTAAATGTTATGTTAAAAAAGAGAGTGCAACACATCTACATATGTTTTTTTCTAATTTAATATGAAAAGATAATAAAATAAAAAGAACAAATTAGGGGTATGATTATGAAGAGTTGGACTGTAGGACTTCCTCAAAGTGACAACAAATAAACAGTGATATGCCCAGTTCAAACAAAGGATGAATCAAAATAAAAAGACATGAAATTACAGAAATTATAGCTGAAAAAAGTTTTGACTTGTCTGTACCCACACTCTTTTTTGACTAAAAGTCTGAAAATGGAAATAGTAAATAAATTATGCTTCACTTGGTTTCAAGATTCAAAAAGCTTTATTTATCCTGAGGACTGAAGTCGTTACAGCTCACACTGCTTTTTATGAACGTATCCATTGTATATTTCTCTTACTTTATGCATCCATTGTCTTCTGCTTATCCAAAGTCGGGACCTTTACACTAATTTACTGTAATTATTCAATGATAATGAGGCAGAAAAAAGACACAAACACTTGCCTACACACGGCTAATACACCTGAATGCTCTCCCCACAGCGGTGGCTTTAAAAACTCAGAGATCATGGATAACTTTTCATACTTTTGTAGACACTTTCAGAGGTTTCCATTCGTCCTGCTTCAGTGTTTTCTTCTCCTCCACATATGCAGTGTCTGGTTTTTCTTTACAGTTTTTTTATGCTTCTTTTCTCCCCTCACTACCCCTTCTGACAATTACCCTCTCTTTTCCTCTCTTTTTTTCTCTTTTTTCTTTTTTTATAGCTTTTTATAGCATATTCATGAAGGTAACTTTTAAAATGAAGTAATATATTTTTTAAGATTTCTTTGAGTGAACAAATATAATTATTCTGCCAGCAGAGGGCAGCCTTTTCCTCCAGAGTCTGTCTATGATATTCAGTGTAAAACTCTCCAGTCTTAGTAGGCTCCTGTCCAGTGTTTTCTGTGTTTTCCTGCTTTAGCACATTTGCCTCACATTAATGAGTCTTTTTCAGAAACTCTATGAGAGATGTCGCTGATTTTAATCAAGTATGTTTCAAGCGGAAGCATCTCAGATCTGCAGAGCAGGACCCCTGAGGGCTGAGAGGTGGGATCTGGGAGACACAAATTGGGGAAAAGGATCGATTCATCTATAAACAACAAGATGCGGTGTGACCCGGTTGTGACAATTTCCAGCTCTGTTAAACAGAAAGTGACTCAGTCTGTATTTATTGTTTTATACCAAGAAGAAAGAAAAGGTTGAACGATATTTTTAGAGAAACTTTTTTTTATTTTACAACAAAAAAGACGCCGAGTTATGGTCGGATTGTAAAGAATGATGTGTTGTACATACGTACATAAGCAGAAACCCCTGTTCTGTCCTCTTTTAGTGTCATTAAAAGTATGAGAACATCCATGTTTTCTGATTGGTTCCAGGGTGTTTTTGACCATGGACAATACAACTGTGACTAATTAATTCCTTCATTTTTTGTAACTTTTTTTGTAAATAGCAACAATATGGATTGTGTATTATAGTAGCAGCCCAGTTAAACGATTGGCCACTTTTTGCAAGAATTAACTTTTATAAGTTAGCTGCAACAAACACAATAACTTGGAAAATGATTGATATAATAATAACTCAATATAAGGCTCTTCCCATTCTACATATTTCTAAAAACATTCAAATGTGGAGTATTGACACTGTAAAAAAACACAAAAGTTTGATATGATGGATTTCAGGTTTCACATTTGAGGCGTCAGATACAGGAAATAAATTAAGTTTATTGTTGCCTGTTGAGTAAAGTTGAACATTAAGGTGAACATAGTTTATTTAGCTGAAATTAACAGATAAATAAAGATCCTCAGTGGAATCATAAAATAGATAATTAATGATATTCTTACTTAAATGTGTGTTTATGACTTTAAGAGTGAACATCGCATGTATTTGATGAGCTTTTGGAGCTGTAACCTGGGGAAATATTGATGAATGCATTGAATTTCACTTTATCAGACTCTGCAGAGGCCCAGAGGTCTTAAACGGTCAAAAGCATCCAGAAGAGAGATGGAAGTGTCTGCAATAACTGTCAATCTGCCAGTGATGTTTATTTGTTTAAAATCTGTCTCTGAAAATGAAAGATGTCGTATTTCCAGATCAAATTAAAGCCTTGTAGTGAATGCCACAGACATAAACTGTTCAGGTTTTTAATATCAGCGGTAAATCCTGTGTTGTACAACACAATCTGCTTAAATCTGATCTGACATGATCCTTTTCGTTTAATTCTGGCTTTGTTCTGAATTAGGAGCCCCCAAGGAGACGAGTTCAAGACCCCTGCCTGAGATTGTCATTGTTCCTCGTAATATCAAAGTATTTTTCTTTTCCATTTCTATTTTTTCTCAGTGTGTCAGTTTCTCCATCAATCATTTAGTTGTTTTTTCCTCCAAAACTTAGATACAATCAGCCTAAAGAAATCGAATCATTGTCATTGGTTTTACACATTTTAATGCCCTTTAGATCCCTGTGGACCTCACAAAATGGACTTCAACACAAATTAGAGAGTCCATTTCCCATCATAGATCTGAGGACAACAGTGGAAATTAAACGGTAAAACCTGTAATGCATCCACCATTACAGGTCACTTACTGAATACTTTCAGAGATACGTGTCTGTGACTGTGTTCATCAAACACAAGATGGCGATATTTACCAAGAAGACGGATCATTTGAAAAAGAAAAAAACAAAGAGCTCCATTTGAGTCATTTGTCACCAGAAAAATAGGGAAAATTAAGCAAAATTGTTTAAAGTACAGCTAAAACAGGGGAGTAAAAGTCCTCCTTCTCAACTCTTCTAAGCTATTAGATGATGAAGAACAAACATTTCTCAGATTTTCTATTTCATTTTGAATGTAGTTGCAGCAATTTAGCCAGAACTGATTTAGTCTTTTGGAGACATGAAGTTATTTCCTAGTTGCTGTACTGTGGAAGCATCTTTTGTGGATTAAATCTGGACGCATGGGGGCAGAACTGGTCTGAGTTGATCAATGTGATGGCTTCATATTTAGAGCAAAACTCAGTTTCCATAACTAAATGTTTTGAGAGCAAAATGATCTCAATTATGATCTTTCTAACATTAAATATATATTTTGAGTCCATCACTTACGTATGTTTTAATGGTTAATCACTAACTTGCTAAATGCTCATTGGCATAAACAGTCTTTGTTTAAAAAGTCTTCTGCATTACAAACTAAAATATTTTTTTAACTCATATTTGCAATAAATTTGCAAAATTGTGTTAAATGTCTGCCGAATAGATTGAATCCACTGGTCTGATAAATCCCGCCCATAACTGTGCCTTCTAACTGA